CCGGGGACCAATATCTCATAGGTGACATCCAGCTTAGCAGCCCCCAGGGAACTTTGAGGGACACCACTGAAGCTGTCTGATGGTAAGGGGGCAAAAGCGAAGGGCACTCACAGTGGCTCCCAGAGCTCCTTCCAGAACATTCCTAACAGGTGTCTGAAACTTGCTTTGTAAAGACACAAACAACAGGTGTTTTAAGGTGTGTGGGGGCCCTGTGGTTTCCATGACAACCTTTCAATTGTTCCAGAGAACAGCCATAAGGAACACAGAAAAGACAGGTGTGGCTGGGTCAGTAGACTTCTTACACACCAGGAAGGTGGATTGTTGCCAACTTGTATTGTGTTCAGAATATTTTGCTTTTGCTGTTTCCCCACCCTAGTTGTTTGAAAATACGGGGACCACACTTCAGGCCTCATAAAACTGTGGGTGTAGCTGCACACCAGGTGCTAATGTTCCCTGTCTGTCCTAGACATCTCGTAAACACTGGCTGAGGGTAATGACACATTTCCCCTACTGACAACAGGTTTAAAGGGATCAGGCAGCACCCCCTTATTACCTGTTCCCACCCCACATTTGAAACCACTAGTGATCAGATAGTTGCTGCCCTGACGAACCCAAAGCCTGGTGCCAAAACATCCCCAAACAGTAAGCCTGGTGTCAAAACACCCCCAAGCAATTCTCTCTCGGACACTTATTTCACTTGATTTTCTTTTTTGTGACAGAGTTCTACTCTGTAGCCGGTGCTGGCTTTGACCTCTCAGCAATCCTTCTGCCTAAGCTTCTCTAGGACATGGAATACAAGCGTGAGCCTGGTTTTCCTGGCTTTAGATGAGTCTTAAAGCAGGAAAAGGCATTTATTTGAAGATGGCAGAACAGACTCTGTCATGTGACCCACACATTGAGAAGAAACAAAAGGTAGCTCATCTGAATCCTAACACTGCATCTACAAGACACTCATCATCCTGCTGCGGTCCCACCTATAGGAGTGCGGGAGACAGCAAACCCATAGTCCACCCACTGTTCACATTGCTCCTAAGAATGAATGGCAGCTAAGCCTGGTGAACCAGGCCTTCCACCCCAGCTACTCAGGAGGTTGAGACAAGTTGATCTGGAGTTCAAAGCATACCTGTCTGGGCTACAGAAAAGGCCTGGGCAGCCAAGCGAGATTCTATCTAAAAACAAACAAACAAACAACAAACAAAGGTCTTGGGGTTTAATTAGTGCTTTCCTAACAAGTAGCATAGTGTGAGGCCTGGAGTTTGAGACCTTGCAGTGAACAAAGCAAACCATCAATGAAAGGGAGGAAGGGAGGGAGGGAGGGAGGGAGGGAGGGAGGGAGGG